ATAGCAAACACACAAACACACAGACCCTCCAGCTCTTTCTATTTCCTGTGTTAGCAGCATGCTGAGCTGAGGGTCCTGCTGGGAAAGCGAGTCCCTCCGAGCAGCAGGAGCTCTGCACATTCCCACCTGATGCATCATGGGTCAGAGAGGGGGAGCTTTCCTCTATAACAACCTGGCTGAGCTCAAATACAGATTTACAAAAGCCTGGATGAAAAAAAACAAGATGCTATACTAACACAAATAGATATTGATACCACGGTGTACACTGAGAAAACTGAAACGTTGACTTTAACTAAATGTATTACAGTATGTCAACACATCTCACACAACTGTATTAGGGTGGTCGAAAGCAATAATATTAAGTTGAATCTATTTAAACTAGGGCTGTCAAGTTAACGCGTTAATAACGCGTTAACGCAAAAAAAAATTAACGCCACTAATTATTTTAACGCGATTAACGCATGTGTATTTTTTGTCCTCGGCCGCCGTAGTTTCAGAGCGCATCGAGTGTAAAATACCATCGACAAGCTGATGCTGACAGCCCCGCTCCTGCCGCCCGCTTGTGGCAGACCACACTTCCACGCTCACTGGCAGGCCCTGACTGGCCATCGGGAGGACCGGGAGGGAGTGTGTATGTGTGGCGCGACTCGCGCGAGCGAGGCACACCTACGTGTTGTTGTTAGCATCTGGTTCTAGCTAGCTGCGCTAACGGATATAAGGAGCTGTTTCAATGACATTTCGCCGACAACTGCGCCGAGCACTTGACTTTATGCAGGTCGCCAGACAGTGGGACATTGTACGAAAAGTCAGCGCAACATTATTGCAGCGTCCAGGCAGCTCCCATTCGAGCATATATGCCTTGAGCTGCACATAGCTCAACGATCCATCACAGTGTCTCCACACACACACACACACACACACACACACACACACACACACACACACACACACACACACACACACACACACACACACACACACACACACACACACACACACACACACACACACACACACACACACACACACACACACACACACACACACACACACACACACACACACACACACACACACACACACACACACACACACACACACACACACACACACACACACACACACACACACACTCTTTGTATTGTATTATTGTATGAGAGAGGTTCCAGGTTGAATTGAGGCGAATATTTGTAATGTTCAGGTTGTTGTGTTTAATATTCATGAGAATATTTGTCATTGTTCAAATGATAATAAACAAACATATAAAGCATATTTGTCCACTCATATGTTGATAAGAGTATTAAAAACTTGAAAGATATCCCTCTAAGGTACATTTAGAACAGATAAAAAATGTGCGATTAATTTGCGATTAATCGCGATTAACTATGGACTATCATGCGATTAATCGCGATTAAATATTTGAATCGACTGACAGCCCTAATTTAAACTTAATATTATTGCTTTCAACTAACCTAAAATCAGTTAGGTTAGCTCTGAGTGTTAGCGATGCTTGCTAATGTAAACAAAGACCATATTACTTCCAGAACACGTTGCGCATTGTTTCTGATAGCAACGTTTCTGATAGGGCCGTGGGTGTAAAGCCCGCCCACATTTCAGATATTACGTCACATCGGACGCAAATCTGGATCAGCTCCGTTGTACCCCTGTTTTTAGAGATTAGGGTACAGAGGAAAAGTGAGAGGGTTTTGTTTTCTGACACTTGAGTCTCCTTACACACCGGGGACACATATTTATGTATAAAAGACATCAGAAAGTGCATTTTGCATAATAGGACACCTTTCATTTGATAATATTAGTTACTTTACAGATTCCGACTATTAGCAAACACAAAATCTAAATAAACTCAGAAATAAACTATGCTATATAGCAGGGGTGGGGAACCTTTTTCCTCTCAAGGGCAATTTCAATTTTTTCAACATCCTCCGAGGGCCGTACAAATGATTGACCTCTGCTTACAAATACTAAAATAACAGCCCATTCATTTGGCCTTTCTTTCATGCTGTGCAAAGAAAAAGCAACCTCTTAATCCAGATATCTTACCATGACTCGCGTATGCATGCACGTGCACGGTTGTGGCATGACTACCAAAACAGAAAGATATGGACACAAGATGTGTGAAGATTTGTTTTTAAATGTTGAAGTTAAAAGCATCAATCTGGTGCACTTTGAGAGCAACATTAGGAGATCTATGGATACATCTCTCAACACATATGAAACAGACCTGTAAACAGATTTTATTTTTCTTTATGGATATTTTACAAATCACTCCCCTTTCAAACTGTATTCTTGTTTATTAATAACAACTTTTTTTTACTGTCATATAGTATTTTATACCCGTTTACTTTATTCTCTTGTTTTTTTATGACTATAATGATCATATCAAGATGTGCCTTTACCTCACTGGTTGTAGAAAAAGCTTCTTAAATTCGTTAGCATAGCTAGCTAACCAGATGCTAATAACAACAAAGTTATTGACTGTATGATCAGTATGACAGATGAGCAGATCGCCACTGGGCTTTCAACTAAAGACACAGCCACGCAAAAACTGCGGCATGTGTACGGCTCCTTATGGGTACTGGTTCTGGTGCTCTCCGGCAGAACTACACCCCTGTCAGACGAGACATATACCATGTGATGACACGTTAGGCTCGTGTTGTGTTCAAGGACCCTGACTTTAGCCAGGAAAAACAGGCACTCGCTTGTTTAATTCTTTTGCAGTCTAGATTTCTTTAATTTTTTTCTTTTTTGCATGTGTTTATAAATTACCTCGAGGGCCGTACCAAATGGTCTCGCGGGGGCCGGATACGGCCCGGGGGCCGGAGGTTCCCCACCCCTGCTATATAGTTATAGTTAAATAGCCAGCAGCAGTATATAAAGTAACAAAAAGTAGCTCATAGTACCAGCTATGATGAACACATTGCTACAAAATAAATACATCCAGTAATTTATTATATATATTTTTGTGAAATGGGACATTACGCATAATGAGTACTTTTACTTTTGGAACTTTAAGTATATTTTGATGCCAAATTGCCAATACTTTTGTTCTTTTACTTCATTAATGTTATGAATGCAGGACTTGTACTTGTAACAGTATCTTTACACTGCAAGTACTTCTTCCACCACTGACTGATACACATCCATATGGGTGAGGTACTTCATTCAGCCTATGAATATGTACAGACTTCTGGTTATAGACCTACAGTACTTGAGATATATACAGTATAGTGATAACATGAATGAAACCTTGTCCCACTTGGTGGTGGATGTGAGGCGTTTCTAACGCAGTGTGCATCTCTGCCAGTGAACTCAAATATAATCAAACTCAAACTAGGCAGCGCTGGTGAAATATGAGTTATGGGCTCCGGGTCCAATAGTATTTCTTTGAGTGAAATGCCCCGGATATATATGACAGCTAGGATAAGAGCTGTTTACATTCTCTAGATGCTAAAGTAATGCACTTTGAAGTTCCTTTCTCATCTTAAGAAAAGGAGATCATGCCTTCCCACGATTCCTTGCGGCAGCACTATTTAAAGCAGCGCCGCATTCAGCTCTCAATAACTACACTAGTGAGTAATTCCAAAGAGTCAGCTTACACAATACAACCTGCAACTGGCTCACTGTAATGGTGTGCACTTACACTCAGGTTATTAGTGATCCCTGTTGTTTTACAAGTCAAAAGGTCTGCTGTGAAACAGGTCGACTCTCTGAGAACATATTTATCATCATTAAGTATCTGTGTATGTCAGACAAGAAACAAGAAATGTCAGATCAGAATGATCGAAGTCATTTAGAGAAAGTGTCTTCACTTATTAATGAACCTTGTTCACCTATCTGTATAAACATATATTCACCAGATCAGAGTTTAACTTGTGTTATTTTTGTTATTTCTATTCATACTTTAACTACATTTAAAACTAATTGTATTATCCCTGTGTATATTCTCATGTGTTCTCTCTTATTCTGTTGCTACTATAACACCTGAATTTCAATAAATCAATAAAGGTCCATCTTATCTTATCTTAATTGGTCATGTGATGTGTTTATATTAGAAAGTAACAGTGACAGACATTAGATTTTTCTCTCCACTGTCTATAACAGTATCAGTCTTAGTTTGCTCTTCCATATCCCCCTGTTTCACTTACATTATGTTGGTGCAAAAGAACATATTAAGTGCCACGCATAAGCCAAATGACAGTAAGTACATTTCCATAGTGATCATTTCCTTTTGCTGAATCCAAAACACTTTTCCATTGGAACAACCTCGAAGATGCTCTAATCCCATTCCACTTCTGGACTCAGTCTGTTAAAGTTTCCAGAGCGAGTGAAGGCTGTTGAGGCTCAGTCCTCTGCTCTTTTTCACTAACACACATCTGGCAAACCCCTCTCCACTGCTGGCCTGCTGCTCCCACCCAACACAGAGAACTGAACAACACCACCGACAGCATGGCTAACCTTCACACTATCACCGTGCCACTAAGTTAATGGTACTACGGAAGGTGATCAGATCAAAAGGTTTGCAACTTTGGACACAATGAATGTTTCATTTTTGTGCTGCAGGGTCAATATACTACCAGGAACTGGCACTATGGACTGGGACCAGCATAAACTGTATTTTAACAACAGTACATAATGAAAACATATTTAGAGACATTTTATTGTTTATAAGTTATTTGCTAAGCTTCCAAAATAATCTGCAAAAGATTAAATAAAGGTAGAGGGAGGTATGTTGCAATAGAAATCCATTCACTTTGAAGAATGAATACTAGTTTCTTTATTATTACAATATTAATTTGTTCAGTTATTATCATGTCATGGTTATGAAGCTAACATGTCAAAAGAAAAAATGATGAATTCATTTCTTCTTTTTAGACTTAAGGAACGGTAGATCTTGTTTGTTTTACTTCTTATAATAAGTTGTTTTTTCATACTACATCATCTTGTTTTTTATTAGTGTTAGTAAATAAACACATTTTTACCTGTTTGGAGCTGTCCCATTGGCTGCTTCTTAGCTTCAGCTATTGGCTGTTGGAGCTCGGCTCCTCCCCCTTCTGCTCCAGGTCCTGCAGGTTGTCAGTGGGTTTCACAGCTGTCAGTAAAAGAAACACAAATGACAAAATGTTAAAGTGGATCATTCAATGTGTCAATGATTCAAATGACTGAGCGAAGATCAGTTTATTGACATTATTCATCAGAACCAGCAGTGCGTACATCGCTAATGATACCTTTACTCAAGATAAAGCAGGGTCCCTTAGTCAAAGTAAATCTAGAATCTAGCAAATCCCAAACTAAAAATAAAATAAACACAGGAACAGAGGCCCTAATGCAATCCTGTTTATTTCCTGGCAGTAAGATATAAGGAGTTAGGAAAAAGTAAATTATTATCAGCCTGTATTTATTATACTCCTCAGTCCATAATGGCCGAAGATTTCCCAGAGCGACACACCAGCATGCGTCATGGTTGATGGGAGTTCACCTGATGAGTTCACAGGGTGCTCTTTCACTTCCTGTGTCTACACATGGCATTTCCCTTTTATCACCACCTTTAACATCAATGTACAGCAGCCATTACTTATCTATAAATTATATTAGCTTTATTTGTAATGTAATGGTTAAAATACTCTTTTCACTAGCTCTGCCACTATAACCACACCTCATTTTTGAGGCATACTTCACTCATCACTGACTGTAGGACATTAGAAGTGAAGCAGAGGACCCGACAATGACATCCTTTAACAGAATAAATGGTCACCTTCCCATGCATGAAGGTGCTCTCTACAGGCAGTGTCAACCCCTAACTGATTCTACTCATTCTCCGGTCATCTGTGTGGTTTTACACATTTCAACTTCTCATTTTTTTCCACCCATATGGTCTTATTTTCTTTTCAGTTGTTACCACTGCGTAGCTTTTCCTGGTTTGAATCTTGATCAAATTCCGTTCTTTTACCAGCTGACCTCATCTCTTGGCCCTGCACTGATTGGTTCTCCGTTAAGCCCCAAAACGCAACATCTTGCAAGAAACAGCGTCTGAGGGCTTCTTACCATTTAACAAACTATGAATGTGTCATACCCACTTAACGGGAAGAAACTCAGCTATCAGACAATATTAACCATTTCTAGCTAAACAAAACACAAGGGTAATAACAAGCCTCTGAATTAGCCCTGAGCGAAAAAATGCTAACGCATTTAGTACAGAACTCACGGTTAATCCAATGTCTCTGTGTCACTATGAAAGGATTACTGATAATCCATCTTCATATTTATGGCAATAACTGAGTTTTCATATATAGCTGCTATGATAGCTACGAGAGTGTATGACAGCTTCCGGTTTTGGGCATTCAGGCTGCGCATCACTCATTCACCTATAGCCGCGTTCACACCAAGTACTTTCCTGTACTTAGTTCCGGCACTAAGTGCCCCGGCGCTTTTAACCCCAGGGCACTTAGTACAGATCGCGTTCACACCGGAGTACTTTTCCCTGAGGGAAGATTACGCAAATGAGCCGCTGACGTCACTTCTTCTTCTGCTTTGGCTTTATTGGCAGGCCACAAACCACTTCACGGCGAGTACAGTAGGTGGCGGTATGCACCTTAAAGTTGTTTGCAATCCGCTGCAAAACAAGAGAAGAAGAAGAAAAACTTCCCGCGTATACTGCGACGCCCACCCACTCGCTGTACATTAGGCGTCTGTTGTTTACCTTCCGACCTCAGACATGATGGAGATGGAGTCGACTGAAGTTGTGCTGTTTGTGCTCATGTTATACAGCTTTGTAACTGAGTTAATGCAGCCTGAGCAACTTGCGTACAATAACAAAACAAGCCGAGCACGAGTGGTGGTGGAGAACGCTTTTGGCAGACTGAAGGGCAGGTGGCGGTGCTTGATGAAAAGAAACGACTGCAAGATGGACAAGATCACATTCCAGGTGGCAGCATGTTGCATATTACATAACCTTTGTGAAAGTAATGAGTACAGGGACGAATGGACTGCCTTACCGGCGACCCAGCTTTATGAGGCATCTGAACAGCGTGTAAATTGTAAACATTTTGACAATAAAGCTGATCTTTTGTACAGTGCTTTTGTTTCTCTTTTATTTTCCAGTCAAGACAGGCAACATTACAATAGTGTACAGTGTGGCAATATAATAACAATAAACGGTGCCAGGTGTGTTGTATGCACAGTAAATAGGCTCAGCAGCAAACCCACCGTTTGCATCCGTCTGCCATAAACACTATGGAAACATACATGTTAGTTTCGGCCCATAGTGGACTCCATTTTGTGTTGTGTAAAATGGGGGGGGGGGGAATTAAAGGTTTGCAAATCCCCATGTCCTCCTCAGAGGACAATCATAAAAACATTTAGTTTTAGGTAAAATAATATTTAAAATGATATAAATTATCATATTTGTGTATGTGCCCCTGCCATTCCTCCACAAGGTTGCAACATTGATGATAAATAAATGACAAATAAAGCTTTGCCAGTTTATAACCGATGAAACATGATGGTATCAGAATAATCACTTACATGTGATGTATAGGATGCTACACAGGTCACTAAAGATAAAGTGTCAGGAGAAATAAGCAAGCTACATGATCTGTTTAACAGTAAATAGAAGTTCACATTTTTAATGTAAATAAAATAGAAGTTGTACATGTAAATTAACATTATCAATATAAAATAAAGTGTCAGTTGTATCAAGGATATATAATAACAGTAATAACAATAATATAAAATGAACTGGTGAGCATCTTGTCCTTCGTTTCCTGGGCCTTGGTGAACAGCACCATCTGATCCCCGTGCATCGACTCTTTCACCACGGCACGCCGGTCCTCCAACGCCTGGACGGTGTCAAAGAAATTCGCATCCCGTGTCCGCTTTCCTAAGAGGGGAAAATAAGCAAGATCCAAGATCTGTTTAGTCGCCATGTAGTTTTACAACATACTAGGAATGTGTTTTTTGTATTTTCACAAATAGAATTAAGGTTTCACAAATCTGAAACTGTGTTATAAAGAATGTTTAGCCTCTCTGGGATAATCCAGTCCAGATTTGATGAGTCTAGGTATAGTGGTTTTAGATCAGGACCTGGTCTAATGTGGCCAGGATGCAAAAAAGCACTGAAATCTCTCTTTTTTGTATTTTCACAAATAGAATTAAGGTTTCACAAATCTGAAACTGTGTTATAAAGAATGTTTAGCCTCTCTGGGATAATCCAGTCCAAATAAATCGGCTATGCAGCGATTTAAGAGGTTCAAACACGGAGGATTGTGCTTCATGTATGCTTGAACTTTGTTTAATGTTGTTGAGGCAAGTTTTCGTACCGGAAGTCATGTGACCTCTAGCCCGGATGTTTACAATGTTTGTGAGAGAGTAAAAAGCGAATACGTTTTCACGCTGTTTCATAATTGTACCAAGAAGGAAATAAACATGATTGTGAACATCAGTTCGATGCGTAACGTTCTTTCAAGACAAAGTTACAGTGTGTGTACCTTTGCGTTTGGTTGCTGGTAAGGGGGACGAGCTAGCGCTGTGATCTAGAATGCAAAGCTCGCTTGTTTCCAATCCCGAGAGTTGTCCATCCTCGCCTGAAACAGACGATTAGTGCCATGAGTTAGTGAAGCAAATTACAGAAACACTGCACAGTTATTCACAAGTCAAAACGTTTTCATAGCGGCCGAGAATATATAGCTAGCTAGATGTAGCTAGCTCGGGGCCGGTGTTAGCCTATTCAGCCTAGCATGGCTAGCTTGATCTACTGAGCAAATAAAAGTACATCTGAGACCATTATTGTGCAGATTAAAACCCCAGTGCATGTAGTTGATTTTACCTTCGTCGTGGTCGTCATCGTTGGCCACTGAATCCGCCGTTTGTAGTCCTGCCTGAGTATCTTTATTTATAGCCGGTGTGTGTGCCGTGGGGCTGTGCACGATTCCCAGGTCGAGTGAAAGCTACTGAACTGGCTTCAGTAGCATTCCCTGGGTCGCGTCCTCGGCGTAGATCTCCAGAAGCGCCGACACCTCCTCATCATTTCTTGATGCTTGCCATAACTGCTTTCAAAAACAAACTACTCTCCGTCGGTGCGTTGGGATTTTGTAGCGAGGAAAACAATGGCGGCTCTACAAAACATTTTCACAGTTGTACGGGGCGTGGTTTACAATTCGCCCAGCCAATCAGCACTGGGGCACTTTTCACCCACAGGAAAGTACGATCTCTCAGCAGGCTCTAAAAATGGGGGTAAAAGTTCCCGAGATTAAGTACGATTTTTGGTGTGAACGCGACATAAGGGGTACTCACGGAACTAAACGCGAAAAGTACGGTAAAAAGTACTCCGGTGTGAACGCGGCTAATGGGTAATGTTTAGATGGATTTTAGGAACTTCCCCTCGATTGTATTGGCTCTAACGGTTAAAAAGAGATGTCAATCATCAAAATCGACCGAGGGGGGCCAGAGATATGGAAAATCCACCCAAATGACCAGAAGTGGGTTTCTTTTTCTAAATCTCTCTAAAAAGGTAAAATGTCAATTGTTTTTAGGGATGGGTACAGAGCCCCGGTATTAAACGGGCCCCGGGGCTGAATTATTAAAGACCGTGGTACCGTTAAGCTCCGACGTTATCGGTCTTTTTTATCGGTACTGGAGACATGTAAAAAATATATGTCCTACTTGTTTTGCATCAATCTTGATACAGGGTACTTATATGTTATAGTTTGGATTCCTAAAGCTTTTAGTCTCTGATCCCATCATTCAAGGGTGGTTTTCACTATAAGTAATGTTTTTTTCTTTACTATGTTCAATCTGAATTTACTTTAAAATTAAAAGAATCTATATTGATTCTGACTTTTCTACATCCAACTCGGTTTATCATTGCTTTGAGAAAAAAGATTATTAATTTACCCCTTTTAGAAGTGAAGATATAGTCATTTGTTCTTGGAATGTCATTTTCGAGCCTGAGATTTTTTTTTACATTATCTTTTACATTACTTTATTTTTACCTATATATGTATCTATTTATTTATTTACTTTACTAGCTAGGAGCGGGAGGGGAGGGGGGGGGGAGGGAAAAATATTGACTGTATAAATGTAAACTCATTGTGC